TATCTATAAAAGCCTAACGCGGGAGTGACTAGGCTGCTGGCTGCTAACCAGAAAATCAGATTATTATTAATTAATAACTAATCTAATACCTGTTCTAATAATATAGTAATTAAAAATATATTACCACTGGTATATTATTCTTGTAAAGACTTTGTATAAATTATTAATTAACTTGTGGTTATTAATCTTCTGAGTATACCTGATCTTTCTAACCGGCGGTTAAGGTCGGTTAAAGCAACCTCTTAACCGTAACCTACCCTTAACCGTACGGTTAAGAGGATTCTTATACCTTAACCTAACCGTCAGGTTACGGTTAAGGTTAGGTTAAGGTATAACGGTCAGGTATAACCACTCTAATTCAATCTATTTCATTCCTGCTTGATTAATCCCGACTGTGAGATAGACCGGGTCTGTTGCAATGATTCCATTATCAACAGCAGAAATAATAAAAGAGAGGCCATTCGCCGGCGCTCACATTCTGATCGCGAAGGCACAAACCCACAGATGCTCCCGGTAATCTCTTCTCTTTGCCTTAAACACTAATCAGTGATTGTCTGCCAGTTATTCCGGACTTGAGTTTGCTGGGGCGCATACTGTTATTATTCCTTGTTCTAGCTTTCTTTATCCTGCTTTATAGCTGGACGCTGCTCATTCTAGTACTGAACCCTTTCTAAAATATCATTTATTCGCGTTGATTATAATCCATTATTATTCAGTATTAACTGAATTACTTGGTTCAGGCCTCCCTGGTAATGATTCTGACAGAATACTAGAATATAATTAGATTATGATAACTTTAACATTCTATAATATAGTACTCACTGACTGACTTGATTCTATTCTCTTTTATGGTAAGTCTGACTCGCCCGCAGCGCATATACCACATGGTCTATTTGCGCCATGTCAGATAATTTACCATGGTACGCTGACTGGACAGTTGGGTTTTGCTGTTAGGATTCTGCTTGGATCTGCCTAGAATGGTTGGAGTCTGTACCCGGTATTCCACCCGATGACATGTGGGCCTCAACCTGGGATTTCCATTTCTCGAGACTCTTTACGCGTTGCAGTAGAGCTTGTTGCTGCTGGTACATAAGACCAACCATTTTTCATATTTCCGTTCGGAATGATGTTTCCTGCTGTCTTCTAGCCGTCAGGGAATGCTGCTGTTGGGCGATTGCAATTTGAACGGTTATACCTCGCTGTGATGCCAAGGCTCGCTGTGATAGAACAATAGGGGCTGAAAGGGCCAGTTACAAATATAATACCATGATTTTACGATTAGAGAAATTGGCATATATATTGCATTCCGTCTCCCCAGTACGAGACTCGCCATGCACTCCTCGATTCCCTATCTTATCACGCCAAGTGTACTGTGCTGAAGAGTCTGTTTCCAGTATCCGTCGAACCCCTGCCTGTGTATTTGTTGGCCGAGAGACGAAGGGCAACAAGATTGATGTTCCCCTCGCGCGCAAAAGTGTGAAGCGGACTGCGGACAGACACAGCCTGCTTCTGAACCACACCAGCCACTACCACAATTTGTATGGCCGTATTGATCTCACGGATATGCTGCGCCATTTGCAAGACAGACTTTCCAGTATTGATGACTGAATCTACAAGTATGACAATGTTTCTGTCTTTCAAATGTGTTTCCTCAATGTCCGCCACACAACGAGCGTGTAGGAACATCGCATTCGGAAATGCATCACTGACCCCGAAGGCCATTGGCTCCCCTCCCCGCATCAGTGCTATTATTGCTGTCCTCAACTCTTGGAAGAGCTGGAACCCGTCAGTAGTATGCCCCTGCACGTGAGGTATCTGAATTGTCTCGAGGCCTAGTAGGTCAGACAGGTGGGTTATTGATAAGTAGTATCCAACGCGTCGATGCGCTTCTCTGAGGAGAGGACCACTAATTCTGGCGTCCCGCGTAGCCGTCGCTAATAGCTTGGCTGCGTTCGTATCCGTACTGTGGCACAAACGGAATCGAAAGTCAATTGAGCCCATCAGTGACTCCAGTCGAACTGTAGGAAGCCTTTCTGCATCTAGGCGTGATGGTATCCCTTCCGGTAGGAGTAATTGGCGCGCGCGCAGTAGACCACTATCGATAGCCGTTGCTAGTTCAGTCTCCATTGATTGGCTTCTGGTGCTAACGTCTCCCACAACAACAATAGCTTCATCGGCTCTGCTCAGCATGCCGAGATCGAGCGGGCTATCACCGAAAGCCCAGACATACGCGCAGTACACTTCTTTGAGACGGTCCACTATTGCCGCCTTCACACCAGGGGTGACAGCAAATCCATCTGAAATGCGACCACCTCCGATGACGACAACCTTGCGAGACAGACCAATCTTATCGAGAATCTTAGTCCACACTGCACGCAATCCGCAGGTCACGATTACTGCACCAATATGCTCTTTAGATTGGGCATGGCGTAGTAACGAGAGCATTTCGGGATACAATTCGACTGAAGACGCCACGCGCGTACAGATCTCATCAAGTTCGTCGTCGTCAAATGATTGCTCATAGAGCAATGATACCTGGCGAAACGCAGCATATGAGTATCTCAGATGGCTACTGAAGATAGCCTTCAATGGTGTCACATCATTTTGTCGAGGGGTACATGCCCGCCACAACATGTCTCCAGTATCCTCAGCAGTCAAGGTTCTGTCCCCGTCCAGGACTAGGAAAGTGTCGATGAAATTGGTATGACTAAAGCGCAAGGAATCATCAAGAGAGTCCATCGCGACGCTCAAGTTGTAGATCTCGTCGTGCTTTTGAAAGTCCAACAAAAGACGTTTTATACCAGCAACATTCTCCGATCGTACCAGACAGAACAGGATACTGTGGTCGTAGCAAAGCTGACGCAAAGACGTTCTTTCGGCCTCAACCCATTGCTGAATCGCGCGAACAGGCAGCTCCACCCTGTAATTTTGCGTGTCCTGCTGGCGCCGCTGCCACACTACGTTGGCGGACTCATCCAGATACAGTATGTGTGTAAAGACCTCAAGGTCGCTCTCTATGAGGACCGTTTCCAGGGCACCTTGCTCAGAGCAAAACATAAAATGCCCGGTGACGACGGCAATCTTTCCCGTTTCGATTGACGTTCTTCTGATGGTTTCGATGGCCTGCTTGCGCCAGCAGGCTTTTTCTCCTCCCTCTAGCGACTGGAAGGCCTCAAGTCCACCAGGTACAATATCGGCAATAACAGCGGAGCCTTCATGGTAGTTGAATAATTCTTCACCCAATTCTCGTTTCAGTCGATCAAGTAGAAATGATTTTCCCACCCCTGATATTCCATAAAGACCAACAACCTTTGGTTTATGAGCCTCACAATGGCTGCTGCCCTCGCGTGAACAATGACCAGTGTTATTCATTTTCGGCTCGTATGAGAGTCAGTAAGGGCCTTCCGAGACAAGTTCGGTCAATATATCTTGTGGACTATCCAGAGTCGTCTATGAAGAGTGGCTACTTATGCTATCGCAAAGAGCGGTGCTGGCTTATGAACCAAGTAAGCTGGGAGAATGGGCCCCTCTCTTAACGGATGTACATTTGAGCTTTCAAGACAAGGGTACTACTAAAGAGGCCACGCCTCGTAGTCAACTTGCTCTCGACTAGACCCCAATGAGGCGAGCCAATAACTGTTCAAGTCTTATAGCCTACATCGTTCGAGCGAATGAGCTGTGGGGAATATTGTGTTCACTGCACTAGCGCAGCGAATGAGAACCCTTGAACAAAGCCGGCTGCTCTAACCTCTCGTTAAAAGTTGCTGCATTGGCAGAGAATTTGGTCCGCAATCAGGCATCTGAGCGAGAACCACATCAAACATTTCCAAGATACGGACAGATTGAGAGTTAGTGTGAAGGAAGCTTTTCAGCGTGCCAAATGATACCCCAAGAGATTTCAAGTCGAGCTGTTGGAGACCGATGCTGCGCCGACAGAGAAGTTCGATTGGAAAGCCATCGCCAGCAACCTGTATGGACGGAATATCCCGGAGAAGATGCTCAAGGCACTCTGCCAGCTCGCTGCGCTCACTATTGGTCGAGAAAGCGGGGTAAAATAGGTTGGAAAGGCAAATGCCTCTCAAGTCGAGACCTTGCTGCCTGGAGCTGCTGATACCCCTGGCAAGGGTACAGACCTGAGTCACATTGTACTTCCTGTCCTGACATAGCGTGTATAAACCTAGTGGATCTTGCAGTGGTACGCTTGCGTCATTCTGTTCCTGGATACGGATTGTTACTTTCCGTAACCGAGGGAAAGACACTAGAAAATTGATGGCTCGCTGCATGTCGGCGTCGCCGATGCTGGACTGATTCGCAACCCAGAGGGCCGCATTAGGGAATGTGATATGCATGCTCTCCGCGGGTTTTACCACGTCCCCGGCGGTGCTCACTGGCCCAAGATTGGGAAAGCTGGTGGCGTAATGCACTAGGCGCAGCTGTTACCCAAGGACGTCACTTGATGTTCTTTGCGACAGGAAATATTACCTGCTTTGGCTCTGCCTAACTCAAACCCTAGAGATGTGACAAAATGGCATAATCGGGATTCTCTGACATTGTCCAAGCGGGCAAAGCTCTCTTCTGTAAAGTCCAGAATGACATCGCCAAAGATAAATGGCAAACATCGCTCTCTGAGAAGCTTGCTCACGCGCGAAATCTCTTTTACCGCTGGGAGGTGAAGATGATCCAGGATCAGGCAAAAAATCTCTCCTGGTAAAGCCTCTAACAATGTTTTCGTGTTCATTCTGCTGTTCAAGCATGCAGGCGGCGCTGACATTATTGTATATTTAAGTTATTTCGTGAGCTGCTTCCAAGATAGTTTGAAAGAGGTACGGAATAGCCCAAGCCCTTGAAGCACTTCTGCATGCCACGTTCTGAGCAATGTATTCGATTTTTATGTGAAAGGGACCTTAGCCTGTACTCCCCCGCGAGATTATCCTTTTGCTGATGCATTGGCCTCGGTCGGGTAAATCTTTACCGCCAATATCGGGCGCTGTGTTGGACATTTTCGAAGTAAAGTACGAGATGGATTTTCAGGTATCGAGAATTACCCAAACTCCAAAATGTGAACTTCACCGAATGAAGGAACATGGCGAATTCCAATTAATAAATTCTCGTGACGTCTCCAACTGGGCAATCCAGTTGTGCTACGATCAGCTGCCACCTCGACGAGAAAGACAGGGGGTTGTAAATGTTCTTTACGTTATTGGGACTCTTAGTCGAGTAAAGATATCTACGATGCGCAAGGACATGGACGCGAAACTTTCGAAAGCTAGAGAACAGCTGCTCTCATTTGGCTGCGACCTGAGATTCAACCTCACGATCTTTCCGCTCGATGTTCCGTCCGGCGTTAATTCTCAGCCCACCGGTGACACGGACGGGGTATATGGTGCCGCTGGTGAAGGTGGACGAATCGGAAACTGCGCCAAAGCAGCACTAAAGAGCATACATGGGAGTTCAACAACTCCGGGTCTGTCGGAAGCGGTTTGGGAGGCTGACATGCATATATTTGGAGGCAACGAAGCCTCGCCCGACACGATGTCGCCGGTGCCGTACGAGCCAAATTACTTGGCATATTATTATGCAACCGAAGACGGGATGCTTGCGAATGATCATCGCTATGTTATCGGAAAAACCACGGGGTTGGGTATTTTTCTGCCTGCAGTAGCGGAAGCATTAGCGCGAGGGGGAGACTGGACGGGAGGCAAAGTTCTACAGGAGTGGTTCCCCGACGTCGTGAAAGATCATGCGGATTGGCACGCAGTTGTCGGCCCTGAAGCTACAAGCCGTTCGACGTGGATGGAGAAAGGATACAGTGAAATGCCCCTTCCATTGATTTGGTTCTTTCGTTTTCTGCCCTGGCATGAACTCCATGATATTCAGACCAATATGTGCGGAGCAAGCAGACTTGACTGATGTCAACTTGTTCGGTCGAGCCATTCCGTGAGATTGAATCTGCCGACCTTGACATACATTTACTTGTTTCCGGTCTCTACCTACTATTAGAATGTCCGCATGCATAACCCGCCTATCCCAGTCCAGTGTAAGCGAGTGCAGATGATTCAATCTGTTAACCTCTCGAGGAATGCTGCAAGCTTGCCCTTCGGTTGACCCACATGAAATGCCCATGCATAACGAGTCATGAAACTGCGGATCCGGGAGTCCATCTCCTCCAGTCTCAGAGCGCGTTCTTCCTCGGTAGTACGGATAGAACTAGGACTCCTTGGGAGAGTACATTGCAGCTCAACTTCCCCGACCATGTGATTGTCGAAATCCATGGTGTCTTGAACAATTGTGAAGTCATCGTCGGCGACCCAGCTTTGCCGAAATGTTGTAAAGGAAGCCAACTCTCGTAGTCCAAAGTTGGTGAATTCAGTTTGGCTAATACCCGTAGAAAGTTTCAGGTGACGAGAGATTTCCTCTGGGTTGCGCATCTCCATGAACCTAGAATTCTGGAAATTTCCGCCTTCTTTTATTTTGGCTTCCCAGTCACCGTCCCTCTTGCGGACCCAAATGCCTTTCGAGGATAGCAGACCATCTAAATCGTAGTATATATCGTGCATGGAGCGTGAACCCAAATACTGCAGACTTCGAAATGGCGGGTGTCCTCCGGCAAGAGTCAATGGCTGCACGGCAAGTCGGCTGAACTTGCGTTCTACCTCTAAGGTGAGCGGTCTGAAGGGGGCCATCGAGGAGGGGCGAAGAGACGATCAAATGGTGGGCCAACGGGGCGCAGCCTAGGCCTATATTTCTAGCGATCAGTCTGTCAATAGAATCACCTCATACAAAGTAATAGTGGCATCAACAATTATGGTAGATGAATGCTACCGGTCAAAAGGCCAGAGAGTATTGGCCGACTCCCGCCACAGAGATGGATTTGGGACTAAACATTGAGAAAAACAAGAAGCCAGGTCAATGATTCGTCACCTGATGAACCAGCCTCTAATCACGTGCCGAGTCTAGGCGCCGCCGTGTCACAGCCTCACAGGTAATAGCTGCCAAACCAAGTAGGCGTTAGCATCATGGCTGGCGGTACTCACAATAGGAGCTCGACTAGTTCCGACATTGGTATCCAGCATACGTACCGAAACCGAATTCGATCCAGTTAGGAGTTCCGACGTGATCGCACAAGAAGTTAACAGCCCATTTCCCCAAAAGGGAGTTAAGGAACCATGCCTATCTATTCACCAGAAGGGGAATAGCGTGGTGCAGGTCTTTCTTTAGAAACACAGTTCCGCGGCAGTCTCGTCGGTTCCGGAATGCTGATTTAATGCTAGCTTGAGAACTTGGCTGGCCGAAGCGGAGGCTCCACTTCGAAGCGAACGCAACCCATAGGGGGTCTGAGGGGACAAGTGCCATTTGCCCATTGGGCGTCTCGCCAGTGGATGAATTTTCGGGCAGCAAACGGCCTGTCGTAACAGGTTGCCTAACAGATAATTTCGGGCCAGCCCGTAGTTCAGATATCGCTTACCTCAATATGTATGTACATTAGCAATGTCACTAGTGATCTTTCGCAATGTTGAATCATATCTCATGTAGGTAGTAAGCTTGTTGGCCACATGATTCATGTATGCTGGGCGAGAGTTACCTACCCCTCTATGTTCGGATATTTATGGTGAACCGCTACTATTAGGATACTCCTTCGCCCTACATGAAAGGTTATTTCTAATGGGTATCCCCTGTTTTGCATTACTTAAATCATGAGCCACGTAGCCCCAGATGAGCCACATCTGCCCCCGGTGATCATTGGCACTGTACATCTTGACGGTGGAAAAAACTATATTAGAACATGGAAGTTCATAGGAGCATTGGGTTAGCCTCTGATTATATTCTGCCTATTTGCTAACGGAATTTCTTAAATTGATGAATGACCAAAGCGTTGGAAATAATCCCGCGCTTTTCGAGAAAGATGTCGCAACTACTCGGAGGAAGACGCCTACTAGTATGCCAGAAGCGCTGAATGAAAGCGAGAGATACATTGTTGCTCAATGTCACAGTGGCTTGGATGCATCTGAAGCGAGTGCTCATCCATTGATATCACATGTGGTCATTGGCGGGGCTCAAATTAGCTTGCCAGATGACGGCTCAAATATGTTCGAAAAACTAGAAAGTAGCATGCGGAAGGAGCACTCTTGTATGAAAGGAGACGATCGCTTAGCTTCATACCTCAAAATTAAAATAAGGAAATGCGGCTCGAATGGCCTGGCCCTCCCCGAAGGAAACTTCTTATACAAAAGGTATTGAATCAGAATTGATGGGCTGTACCGATCATCGAAACATCAAAATCTCCCAGGATCTCTTTGCATCGGAAGTGCTGACTCGCCGGTTCTGTTTCGACTTGCTATTCGATGTTGGCGATCAGGAAAAGCCTCCCATCTGATACAGCCCATGGAAAATCTCTCAGAGACTGGGGCTTTCACGTTGATCAAAAGCGACACACAAGACATCGCATATCGGATAATATTGCAGAGATACTAAACCATGGCTCTCTTCCACAAGTGTAGTAGAGCCTCTGCACCGTCTACAAGCGGATTTCTCGCCATGAACAACAATGGGGACTGCCATAACAGAAGACCTGGAAATTCTCTGTACAACCCAGAGGCTGATATAGCTAAAATAACATTGAAAGAGAATGCGCCAGGTATTAAGTCAGAATCTCCGGTATACAAACACAAACTTAATCACATCAAGTCACATCGGATTCAAGGCAAGGGGTATCCCACATTGTTCACCTACTTCAGTCCAGGAATACTTGCTTTGATACCCTCCACGGATCAACCCGGTCAGAACCGGATAGGCTTATACGAAAACTGGTAACTGAAGCAAGGAATAACGGTAGCATGTCTTATGAAAGAAGAGTGGTGGGATTTTCAGTCATCCAGAAGATCTCTGCAATCTTAAGAAGCGTGTTTGGTCCATCAGCATGCCTCCCTCCTCCTACATGATATTCTTCACTCCGGAGTACTGGCTATGTGCAGGCATGAAAAGGAATAACAATGTAGGAACCGTAGAGATAACATAATTTTGAGCATCGTCTACAATGACTCAGGATTGAGGTTCTAGCGCCCTCGTCTACTGAAACTCTTTTTGTTATGTGATAGGAAAAGTGCGTACAACCCGTCTGACGACTAAGCCTTCCCATCGCTAACAAGACTTCATGAGCGGTGGTATCCGCTTTATACATTACCATGATTGCTGTGGAAGAGGGCGCGCACGAATCTTTTACCAACAGCCTAGGAAATGTGTTGAACGTGTGATTCGACTTGGCAACCGAGGATAAAACTCATTCCATTATTTCTGGGCAGATGGACTAGTCTTCCATAGATAACAATAGCCATTAATCGATCATAAGCTGATTCCGGAATAGGAAATCAAGCATCCAAGTCTTCCTAACCACTCGAATAGGGATAGCGTGGTACGGCAGCCCTGCAGGTGAAAGTACTGGCTCTCGAGCACGAAAACCCTCCGATAGCAAATGCGGCCAGCGAGAGCTAAGAACCGAGACACCGTGAACTCATTGGGCCGCATGCCTGTTAAGTGGATCCGGACAGAACAGCGTGTTGAAGTGCAATCAATCAGACAACGTGGGCTTTGAACGGCAGGGTAACTATGGGCAATGTGCACCGACCGACGACGTGCACGAAATTGATAGCTAGTTGAATAAGCTAGCCAACAGTGTGCGTCGTACACAATGAGTGAGAGAACTAGACCGGGTCGCTAAGTAGAATGACCTAAACAGCTCCTATCCTCGAGGCTTTACTGGCGGGGTGGATTATTCCCTTATCTAGAACAGTATTAGAACATAATTGGCTCCTCAGCTTCTGCCGGAGGTGTTGTATCGTCAAATGTGACTAAACTGAACAAGAAGAACTCGTTGAGCTTAAGCGTAGGACTGAAATCTCGCTTCCAGCCACGTACGGTATTCAATCTTCTTTCCTCCTCTCTCAACACAACTACTTAAGTTGGCCGAGATGGTATTAAGGATATGGCTCTTACCTGGAGATTCAGCCCTTCAACTTTTCCTACAGTCGGAAGGTCGCGCTAGGCATGCAAGCCGCGGTACGCAACCAGCACTTCCGGAACAAATTTATTGTCCACTTTCGCTGGTTTTACCTGCGTTGTAGAGCAAATCAACCAAATGGTCTCCCGCATTGCCAGTAATACGAACCTTGCCCAGCGGGGGTTCGAACTGGGTCTTGATCGGTACATTTGCAAGAATCCCTCCCAGGGCAATTTTGTCTCTGACAAGCTGATGGCAACTACTGTTGAGGCTATTGCCGGTGCCGTCTTCGTAGAAATAAGCTGGGTTCGAGTAGCATTGCAGAGAATTGTGGATGCATTAGGCCTGGCGTGGCCAGATTCTTGAGCTGGGAAATTTCCATGCAAGGCTCGGATAATTACGGATCTCCTATCTTCCATTACGAATTCATGATTCGCATATTGATACGCGCATTTTATTTGCCGCAGAACAATCGCATGTGATCTGCAAAGCTATCCTCGTGTAAGCCACATAACGCATTGCTCTACAGACCGTCGCTTGTAAGGTTCCATATGACCATTACTCGTTCATATGAGACGTTGCATGCAGCTGGCTTGTTGTACAGGCCAGTATTCCTCTGCGTGTTGTTATGGATAGAGGCCTGATGCTCCATTATAATTTGTATTGAGTCCATCAGTGGATATTGTTAGAAAGTTCTAGCTCAGCACCATTTGGTTCTAACCGCAACATCGGTGCGTAACTTTCAGCTTGTAAAGGTTTACCGGCAATGGCTTCATCTTTCCAATATAGAAATCAACCATCCCCGTGTTTATTATCCTGGTTCCCTCGATTCAATCTAACTTGAGATACAAAAGATATTATATTCACCACGATTGTGTGATTATCGTTTCGCAAGTCACAAGCCCCGATTTTATATTCCTTTCCCATTCTTTCTACGTGCATTGGGGTCATCATGCCTAATGCGACAATTATTTTAGTCGCGGCAAACTCGGAGGCGCACATATATTGTGGCCTTTCTTGCAGTTTTCTTCTTTGGTTTCTACCTTTCGGGCGGCCCGTAGCTCATTATCTCATCTATGTGTTAAGAGCTTACACCTCACCCACGGGTAACGGAAACAACTTTGATGTTCCTCTGTTTCAAATGCTGTGCTATAGAGGCTCCAATTCTGCTCGATCCCTCGGCGTTTCGAAGCAAAGCAAGTAGCAATCTGGCCTTCAAGTTATATGCACTTCAGCTAGATTTCAAGAAACCTAATTTCATACCTGTGTTGACCCAGCATGGCTACCCCTCATGAACCGAAAATCGAGACACTGGAAAAGATCATAGGCCATACCTTCTCCCTAAAACATTTGATACGTCTGGCTCGCACCTCAGCAGGTGCTAATCCGGACAACTACGATGGGAATAGGAAACTATCCCAACTGGGTGCCTCTCTGGTTGACTCTGTTCTGGCTATCATAGTATTCTTCATAGGTGGCAGTAGAGGTAAGAAGAACTGCGGCGCCTGGTCACTCAAACTTTTGGACAAACTTATAGTGTTGTAGAGTGTACGGCAAATTTGAGAAAGGCTTTTCTGAACAAAGGCAAATACTGTGCTGCCGCGAAGCGGACTGGTATCGACGATTGCATAGACTACGATAAGCGCACCGGGCCAGATTCGCCGGAGGTTCTTCGCAAAGCGATAAATGCCATTATAGCAGCCGTGTTTCTTGATACCTGGAACATCAAGTCAACAGTAGTTGTCATTCTAAGGTATGGCTTTACATCTGTTTAGCATGCAATTACTGTACTGAATCTGTTCGGTCAGGATTTTTTTCCAGACGAGCGGCGACAGAATGTTTCAGGAACTCCCTTCTGTCTCACCTGCTACTGTGGAAGCTCTCGTATCTATTTCGAAGATGATACTAGCTCTCAATGCTGGAGTGATTAACCCTTCGGTGCTAATTATCGAGCGGTCCGCTACGACTCTTGAGGTCTCCCCAATGATACACAGGTTCCTGGAACAAGGCACCAAAGATCCGCCTCTGTTGTCAAACGCGGAGCGCATTGTGACGGAGAAGGAGTCAGTCACAGAGGGCCTATTTCAATTTCTCCGAGAGGAGATATGGTCATCGGATGGAGACCTGAACCACAATGAAATTGAAACTGAAGCCGAGCATGACTCGATGGCGACGATTCCGGACAGGCCGAATGCTCCACCAACACCAAAGGGCGGACAGGTGGCACGTCGCCAAGGAGAACCTCTCAATGACAGTGAAGCAGCCGTGGTAATACCTGCGCCGAAGAGAAGGTGCAGGGCTGCAAGCACTAATGTCTCCATACTGCATGGTGAGGTTGCCAGGCAGATTCTCTTACAAGAGAGACAGCACTGTGCCGCTCAGAATATGTCTCCGCCCGAAAATCGCTATTTCTCCTCTGCTATAGTGACAAAGGCCCTTAAGCTTGAAGAGGACTCGCTCGGGAACCTCACTATTCTCTTGATAACAATTGCTAGCCCGCAATCAATCGTGGCTCTGCGCGATATGATGTGCTGTGTAAGAGCTCAGAAGACGTTTGATTCGCACCGCCTGGCCGTGAATGTCACTAAGAGGCGAAGATATGAGATGATTAAAGAACTCAACCAAAAAAAATGCACTTCTCCGACTTCTCCGATGGTATCACCTTCTCGAACTATTCGAGCAATGTGGTGGTTCTCGGACCCGTTACAGCATAGGATATGTAAACACGACATCTGCGGATTTCGAACATCCGAAACGGGGAGCGGGAAACCCTAGCAGGAAAGATGATGCTAAGGTAGCGCAAGCGATGATGAAGGAGTTATTCCCCGACCTAAGTCCTATAAGTCCTATGTATGCCCAGGAGTACGCTGCCATCAAGCATTACCGAAAAGTCGGACAGCGACTCTATATACTCACCGACCGGTTCGGTCCAGGAATCCTTGGTCTCACTTTGGACGCCACTCAGGAGTCGGAGATATCGGATACCATGTTAGTAAGTGCCGAGCTTGACATACCCATAAGTCTGACACTATCTTAGGCTGTTAAACCCGAAAAATAAGACATTTCGCGATTTTGTAGACCTCCTCGAAGAATCGCATGGACAATGGCTGAGGAGATGCAGCGATGCAGCTTACTTGTTGCTCCGCCCATTGCTCGAGTTTACCCTCGACAACACCGCGCCTTTTCGTTTGGAGCTTACGGATACTGAATGCATTTTCAAGCAACCTAAGTGCTCGGAGTCTCTTCTGAAGCTTGTTGCCTAGAGCAGTAACGGCTCGTGTGATATAGATGGGCGTCCAATATGCATAGTGATTGATTGTGCCGCATACCTTCGAGGAAAAGATCCTGCTCTTTTCCGAACTCCCTAGCAATACATCTATTCCATCGCTCCCCAGGTAATCATTTCCTCTTAAATATAAACCAGTGGCCTTTGGGGATCACTTTATGCCTTTTCATGCAAGTGTTGCTCTTATGGATTGTGTCCTGACTTAGACAAGGACAAAACGCGTAAGCGCAAAGCGCAGTGAAATGCACCAAGCACTATGTCCGAGTGAGCCTACGCTTGGACAACCAGATATAGTCACGCGCCATGGTATTTTCTACCCTTTAGCCAGGTGACAGTAGCCAGGTGACAGGATGGCAATGATGCATGAAGAGCTTATCTATGAGCAGTGTGATTGTGGTGCGCCAGGAACCGCGATCCTTGGTGTCTATTAATGGCCCGCGGCTGAAGGGGCTAAGTCAGGAACTGCGGCGCAAGATCGATAGCAAATTTGATGATGACCTGGTGTTAATTGGTGGTGAGGGAGGAAAATGTAAAAATGTTTCCTCAGACTGCTCTCCAGGATACTCATACCCTAGGGCCCATACTTGACTTTGCGGAGGTAGCGTAGAGAATTCGGTTCTGCGGTGAAGGCGGTAGAGGTAAATTACGCGCTGGCCACCATGGGCTTTGACGAGATTCTAAGTTTGTTAAGAATGTGATATCTTCCCGTTAACATGCATAAAGTGAAAATAGATGACAGTAATGGAGCAGTAGTGGTATCGTATTCTGAATGGCCACTTGAAGCCGGGGGCGCAGTGTACGAGTTTTCAGTAATAGCATGGCACAGGAGCCAGCCTCCTTCGGCTCGGCGGCCACTTTCTGAACCAACCATTATGCAGTCAGCTCGGTAATCCGAGATGGCCACGGTTGGTCCCAAGTCGGTCACAAGTCAGTCGCAAGTCTGAGTCGGGAACATCATCAGGCGGCTTGAAACGGCCACCGACTTTATGGCCGAGATTCCTGCTATATATTAATAGCAACGGATGAGCCTGATAACACAGCATACTTGTCTCGATCGTTGATGAGTTAGCTATTGGCTTATATTATTTACTAAATTTAATCTTCTAACTCTTGGCAGTAGCATGCAACATTAATATATCAGAATTTTGTCCCTGCACATTATTATAATCACCATGTCCTTGCTGTCACAAAGCTCTGTTCTTGTAGTGAGCGCCAGACCGGCCAGGTCCTTTGCCGCCTGCATGCTCGCACGTGAGGGCGTCGATGTTGTGCTTGTCGATGCCGAAAAGTTCCCCAGATATCTCTTATCATTACATGCTTTAAAAACCCTAACATAAGCAAAATTAATTCTTGGAATTGCAAAGATATTATATTAGAGAGAGCATACTCGCAGCAATACAGTTCCTCTTGCGGCTCATTGATGTCGACACAGAATTCAACCGGCATGGCTTTGAAAAGAAGTACAGGACCACATTCAAGATCACAGAAAAGAGGGAAGCATGTTAGTTGCCCCCGGCTTCGGCTGGTCTTGTTCCGGGACAGTAAAAAATGACTTACCAAGGGAAACCATAAATCCACAGTCACCAACTTTACAAAAGCACTCGGCCCAGGCGGCCACTCGTGGAATGTAGTCCGCTCCGAGTCAGATGATATCTTATTCCACCACGCCGCCCGCAGCGGAGCCAAGACATTTAACAGCACCAAGGTAGACGTAATCCATTTTGAGCCATACCCGCATGACGGTTTCAACGAACCCGTGCACCTGGCCAATCCAGGCCGGCCTGTATCGGCTGACTGGTCGTGTAAAGACGGGACTAGAGGCAACATCAAGTTTGACTACCTCATCGATGCCAGCGGGTGCAACAGGATCATGTCCACAAAGTACCTCAAGAACCGCCGCTTCAACGAGGGCCTCAAGAATATAGCAAACTGGACGTACTGGAAAGGGGCCAAGCGCTTCAATGTTGGCCAGCCCAACGAGAACTCGCCCTTCTTTGAGACGCTCGATGACGCGAGCGGCTGGGTCTGGGCCATCCCCCTGCACAACAGCACCTTGTCGGTCGGCATCGTGGCGCGCCAGGACCTCTTCGTGGCCAAGAAAAAGCAACTCGGGCTAACCCCCCAAGAATTCTACTGCGAGTATCTCAAGCTGGCGCCGCAAATCAGCGCCATGCTGTCGGACGCCGAAATAGTGTCGGACATGAAGCAGGCGTCAGACTGGTCGTACAGCGCATCGGCCTACGCCGGCCCGTACTTCCGCATCATCGGCGATGCCGCCGCCTTTGTCAACCCCTATTTCTCGTCAGGCATGCACCTGGCCTTGACCAACGGTCTCACAGCCGCCGTGTCAGTGCAGGCGTCGCGCCGCGGCCAGGCCGACGAGCACGCCGCAGCCAAGTGGCACGGCACAAAGGTCGCTGAGAACTACACCCACCTGCTCCTCATCATCATGGCAGTGCAGCGCCAGCTGCACCTCAAACATGAACAGCTCATCACCACCGATGCAGAGGACGGCTTTGACGCCGCTTTCAAGGCTATCCAGCCCGTCATTCAGGGGGTCGCCGACACACACCTATCGGACGAGCAGGTGCAGCAGCGAGCGGTGGAATCGGTTGACTTTGCACTCAACTTATTTAATATCACACCGGAGCAGGAGAAGGCCATGGTGGACAAGGTCAACCATGCTACACAGGCAGCGCCTGAGACACTCCAGAACATGACCCCCGAGGAGGTCGATATTCTGAAGCGCATGAGCCATCGCGTCTTGCATCAGAACACAATCCAGGAGAATAGGGGCCTGGCGGCTTTTACAGGTCATGTTATTAATAGGCTGGTGGCGAATATAGAGCATGGCAATATAAGTCTAATAAAAGTACAAGCCTAGGAATCTTAAAAACATATCCCACCGCATGGTGAGCCACACGCGGCCATGAAAGAACTCATGTAATAATAATAACTAGACCATACTATTTACAGGCCATGCAATATATATAATCTTAGGGACAGCGGGCTATGAGGAATAAATATTCTAATATATTTTTATATAAATAATTAAAGAGATACTGAATAAACAATTATTACAGATATAGAGTAGTTATACCTGACTGTTATACCTTGACCAAATCTTAACCATAACCTGACAGTTAAATTGAGGTATAAGAATCCTCTTAACTATATAATTAAGAATAAATTACAGTTAAGAAATTATTTTGACTAATCTTAACTATAGATTAGAAAAGCCAGATATACTTAAAAGATTAATAACTATAGATTAATTAGTAATTTATACAGAATTTTTACAGGAATAATATCTCAAATCCTAGGATCACTTCCCTGTGCTGGTTAGTGTGAGAACCTAAAGACTACAATAACTAATTATATCTGAATAAAGCCTGTATATCTATAAGAACTAATAAATCTGAAAAAGAAAAGAAAACTATCTATTTCCTGCAGATTAGGCTGCTTTATATATTTTTAAAAATTAATTTCTTTTTAATAAGTTTTATTTTTTTATTAATCTTCGACTAAATTTTTATTAGTTCTTTAGTTTCTTTTTTTATTTTTTAACTAATTTTTATTTTACTTCTGGCAATTCCTGTATTTTAATTATTTTTTTAAAGTTATTATCAGTAAATCTTTAGATCTAGAAGATTATATAATTTATATATAATAATTATATTTCTTATATTATTATAAATATTCTTTATAAAATAATTATTTTTATTTTCTAAAAATTAATTATTATGCGGTCCTTTCTGATAATAAATTTTAAATATTTAATTTAAGTAATATAAAATTTATACTTTATAAATTATTATTCAAACTCCTGTTTCCTATAAATATTTTGAGGTTTTTTTAATAAAAACTTTATACTCTCCCTGATTATTACTATAAATAAAAAAATTATTACTATAAATTATAATAAGAAAATTTAAGTATATTATAAAAATTATGTTTATTAATTATTGACAGGCTACTAGAGTCTTTAAAAGTCTAAATAAAAATATTTTATATTTAAATATATTATAACAGGAATTAAATATTATCAGATCTTTTAAATTAAAATATATTTAAATTAAATAAAAAATTTATTTAATATTTAACTTAATAAAGATCTGGATTTTATTAATTGGAGAAAACAGATATTAGTCTTTTTATATAATAATATTAAATTTTTAATAATCTATATAGAAATATAGTCTTTCTTCTGGCTTAATAACTATTAGAATCAAAAAATAAAAAAATTAAACTTAATTTAATAAATTCTTTATATAGATTCTTAATAATATATTCTTTTATAGATTCTAGTTCTTTAAGAATTATTCTATATAAGAAAATATATTCTAGATAATATATTTTTAATTTAATTTTAAAGTTCAATTTTTATAAGAGAGGCAGTGTTACAGATATTATTTTCTAAAAAATATAATTATAATAAATTATTAATAATTATATTAAAATTTCTATTTACTGAATTTTTTATTAATTATATTTTTTATCTTTAATCACCTGATCAGGATTATAAAGTAATATTATAAAATTCTAGTTTTTTTAAATTCTATAAATAGTAAGATATTTTGATAATATTAATAAATATTATAATGATCTTTATATAAATATAGTTTTTTTATTAGATCTTAGATTCTTTCAGTTTCAGAAATTCCTTATATATTTATAGTTCATGGTTTATATATACTAACGTATATTTAATATCTTAATAAAATCTTTAATAGAAAATTTTATTCTAATATTTCTCTTTTATTTGAAGATTAAAATCAGTTATACTAATTTTATTATTTTTTTATATTAATATTTACAGTAGGCTTATCTTTATCTTTTTATTAGTTTTTAAAAATCTGACTATAGAATAGTTCTGTTAATATAATTTCAAAAAACTTATTTTAAAAATTATATTTATATAAAAATAATATTATAATTTTTAGTATTTAAAATAAAAAATAATTTATTCCAGAAGGATCAGCTATCTATAATAAAATTTAAGTAAATAATATAAATAAATTCAATTTATTTTTAATTAAATTCTGAAGTACAGGTAGGGGCTTTTAATAAAATTATATCAAGATTAAAATATTTAATTAATTAAATTACTGATTATTTTTTCATACAGTTGCAGGTATTTACTGTAGAATTAATAAATATTTCTGTTTATATAACTATACCAGAGTAAGAGATTAAAGTTTTAATAAAAAAATTAGATTTAAGATTATTTAAAAGAACAGATATATTTAATATCTACTAATTAATATTAATCTATTTAAATTAAAGACCTCTCTTAAATATTAGTTTTTTTCATAAAGTTTTCTGTTTTTTTCTTTATATTCTTAGATTTTATTAGTTTTAGAATCTCAAGTTATACAAAATATCTGTTTTTAATTCAATAATCAATTTTATTATAAATAAAATAGTATTCTTTTTTTATATATTATTATTATTTTATAATATTTTCTATTTTATTAATAGTTTAGGCTGCAGGGACTGCAGTATTATTTTAAAATTTAATTATAAAAACTTTAATTACAGAAATCTCAGAAAAACTGTGATTTAAGTCTAGTTTTAAAATAATAAAACATTTTTTTTAAATATTTTAAGTCTTAATATTGTTCAGCTAGTTAAATATCTAGATATAATAATTTAAAGAGTTATAGAAGATAATATATAGCTTACTTATTTCTAATATAATTAATAATTTTTTTTATTATTTTAAAATAAAGACCTGTACTTCAGTCATAAAATATATAAATTAAAATTAAAAGATATAAAATTTATCAGAGTCTATAAAGAGAGTTTAAAATTTATTTTCTATAATAAATAATCAGTTTAGAATTATTTTCTATAGAATTATAGAGATTTAAGTATTAATAGAATTATCTTTCTTATCTTTTTTTTTCTATACCAGAGGGGTAATGACATTGCAGTGCAATGCTATTAGGGTGCGGGAACCCCAAATACTTTAATC